TTTTCTCCCCCCAGGGGCCGCCGCTGCGCATGCGCACCGCGCATGCGCGTCCCACCGCGCATGCGCAGAACGTTTGTGTGACGGGGGTCGCCGTCACACAAACGTTGAGAACCACTGGTCTAGTGGTTAAGGCACCAGGCTAGAAAACAGGAGACTGTGACTTCAAGTTTCACTTTAGTTGTGAAAGAAAGTTAGGTGACTTTGAGCCAGTAACCTTTTTACTGCTCAACCACCTCATAGGGTTGTTGTTGTGGGGAAAATAGAAAGAGGAAGGCATGTTGGATATGATCACTGCCTCGAGCTATTTGTAAAAAGATAAAAAATGTGGGATACAATAAACAAAGAAGTTAACAAACACATGCAACTGCCCCCTCTTTTCTTTATATTTCCCACTCCCACAATCATGGTCACCACGGATGTTATCCCACTTGATTTTTATCACACCCCCTATTTCCTTCTCATTTCCTGCTTGTATGTTGCCATCTTGGGGGTTCCTCCGTGCTGCCCATTGATACGGGCGGATCGGTGTTACAAGGTGGGGTGGGCGGACCATCTCTGCCAAACATGTTAATGAGGCTGTTTCTCCCCTTTTTGAATATGACCGAGTAGTTGTTGCTCCCAAGCGTCTCCTCTCTTTAACGTCTTCGGTCTTTACAAGTTCCATCCCAACTTTGACTAAGTCATTTCGGATTTTCTCTGTATGGCGATCGGGAGCACTGGCTTTCATTACTCTCTCTCCTCCATTCTTAGTACTCCTTGCCTGTGCGTCTTCATCGGAGCCACTCCACACTTCTCGTCGACGCATTCGGGTCCCATTTGTCATCTTCAGGCTGGTGTCTTCAGCTTCGTGCTTCGAAGCACGAAGCTGAAAACACCAGCCTGAAGATGAATGGGACTTCATCGAAACGTCGCCAAGACACTTCCAATTTTACGCGGGAGAAAACCCGAATAACCAAAGACCTACATACAAACACCCGCAAAAACCTCAGAATATATATATATATATATGATGCTATGTTTTTCTTACAATTGTCCTCTAAAATCTAAAGGTCTTAATGAGGTCTTAAGTTTTTGGAAGGTCATAAGAGTCATTTTCACCTCTGGCAACAGCTGTTTTATAAGAAGGGAAACTCCACAAGAATCCTGGTGTGACAGGAACTCTTCATACTGATACATCCAACAGTTATCAAAACAGTGAAATGTAAACGGGTCCTCCACTATGAATACAAATGAGCCCAAACTTTATGTTGCTAGGTGAGAAATTTGTTGAGTTTTACAATTTTTCTTACCACATTTGTTAAATGAATCATTGCAGTTGTTAAGTTAGTAACACTTACCCTGCTTGTCAGAAGGTTGCAAAACATGATAACGTGATCCCGGAACACTGTAACCATCATAAATATGAACCAGTTGTAAAGTATCACAATGTAAATCACATGATCATAGGGATGGTGCAAATTTTCATAAATGTGAAAAATGGTCGTCGCTTTTTTCAGTGCCGTTAACTTCAAACGGTCACTAAATGGACTGCTGTAAGTCAAGGACTACCTGTTTATTGAAAAAGGACAATTGTTTGTTCCCTCAATTGTTTAGATACAGCAGTCTCATTTGAAGGTGTGGGGGGGGGCTTGCTAGAATTCCTATATTATAATCTCAACATTAATTCCTTGGATTAATGATTTCAGCCTAAAATCAGGGTTCTGTTTTGGCTTCTTAGGATACGCTGCCAGCTAATAAATCTGCCAGCCATCAAATCTGCTCTACTTCTACTTCCTGGCCAAACTGATAAAGACTGCAAATACCTTATACCAGAGGTCTGCAACCTTAAACACTCAAAGAGCCACTTGGACCCCTTTCCCAGAGAAAACACTGGGAGCCGCAAAAATGTGCGCGCATGCGCACACACACCTCAGGGGGAGCTTGATTGAAGAGTTTAATTAAAAAGAAATAGAGGCTGCTGTGCATGAATTCTCTCTCTTTCCTCTCCCTCTCCTCCCCCTCCCTTTCTCTCTCCCCCCTTTCTTTCTCCCTTTCTCTTTTTCTCCCTCTCCCTCCCCCCTCTCTCCAATCTTCTGCTCAGCTTCAAGCTGTTCTCCAACAAGCTGACACACATTCTTATTGGGCTGACTCTCTCTTGCCCTTCCTGCTTCCTGCAGAAACGCAGCCAAGGCAGGAGCCCCATCCAATAAGCTTGTCAACTCGTTGGAGAACAGCGTGAGGCTCTTTTTATTACACACACACACACACACACACACACACACAGAGAGAGAGAGAGAGAGAGAGAGAGAGATGGGAAGTGCAAGTGCCTCTCTGTGCAAATGGCAGAGGAGGCTGAGAGCCGTAGAAGGCTCAAAGAACTGCATGCAGCTCCGGAGCCGCAGGTTGCTGACCCGTGCCCTATATCCTATACCAGGGGTGTCACACTGCCGGCCCGTGGGCCGGACTTGTCATGTGGAAGCCGTGCCCACCCCATTGCCGGCAATGGCAAAACCGGCCCAATATGTTGCATGATGTCACGAGTTTGACATCCACTGCTGAACTTGGTTCTTTGGTGGCATGCTGCTTGCCTTAGTTCCCTTAATATGAATTAAAATGCAACCACCATCGTAGCCAAAGAAAAGTATGTGCACTGTCAATTCAATATGCCCTCTTCTACCGAGTGTGCTCTTGGATGAGATTCATTTGCTGGTAAATGTACAAGATGAAGCCTTCACTTTTTCTGGCAATATATGTGGCACCACTACAGCCCACAGTAAAGTGCTGCAAGAGTTGAATGCCAGAAAGCAGAAGCACATTGTGAATATTCCCTACCCCCACTTCGCTCAAGAGTCATCATTCCGTGACCACTGATTATATATGTCACCTGGCTTTCATATCCTTTTTATGAAATATTTTTCTACTTTTGCACATTTTAGAAGTTGTTCTGCTTTTTCTCATATCATGTGGTTGAATGTGAGTGATGCAACTTTAACTACATAAGCAGGAATATTCTTGGCTGAAGCCACTGGTGTAGGATGCTTCTCTCTTTTTTTTTTACTATTTTTAAACATTTTCTTTCTTTCTACTTCCTCTCCTACACAGTAGGCTACTGAAGATTGGATAGCTTGCACTTTCCTCTGGATTGCTGCTCTCAATTTTAGACAGCCAGATTGTTCATTCTTGGTATATATCACAGAAGGCAGACATTCATCTAACTGAACTTCACATAAGAATGCAATATGATTTTAGTACCCAGTTTGCTTAAGTATTTTTAGTGTGGCTTACAATGTGGTTCTATTTCCAAAACCATCAATTATTTTTGCACCATTGGTGGGTTAGTTTTAATTTTGTACAAAATTCATAAAGGTCTATCTCTATATTTACCTCTAGAAATGTTCTCATAGTCTCCGAAAACTGAAACCAAATTGTCAGTTTTGAAAACTATTAAACTAGACTGGCACCAAGGAGACTCATATTCTACTCCACTCTTAACCAATGGAAGCTCACTGGACTACTTTGGGTCAGCCAATCCCTCTCAACTCAACTATAAAGTTGCTGATGTGGAAGAAAAAGAAGAGGCTGAGCTCCTGAACAAAAGTCAAGGTATAAAACTATCCGCATCTCCTCCAATAATATACACTCTTGTTTAAGAACAAGATAAACACGGATGGTTTTCAGATTCAGATTATGATTCACAATCTAGCTTTTGAAAAAAATCTTAGTTATCAATTGGACAAGTTTTAAGGTCTTCAGATGAATCCACACCAGGATTATTTAGGAATTATTTAAGAATAATTCAAGCAATTCCTAAAATTAGGTTACTTCTAACGCATTGGCCCATGACAAGGAACTAGTTCAGTGATGGCGAACCTTTTAGAGACCAAGTGCCCAAACTGCAATCTTAAACCCACTTATGCATCGTTGGGTGCCGGGTGAGTGTGGCCTATTGGCTGGGCATGGCCCACTGGCTGGGCGTGGCTGCAGTGGTAACGGCAGACTGGGTGGGACTAAAAAGTTCAATCAATCAATTCCAACTTTGCAAGATTTTTTTTCCCATGAGAAATTGAAATTGACTGATTGAACCTTTTTTTTTTTTTTACACACAGCAACGGAGGCCTAAAGCAAAAAGGTTTTATAAAACCCAACTGAAGGCCTAGTACTGGGGCAAGGTGTGTGTGCCCACAGAGAGGGCTCAGAGTGCCGACTCTGGCACCCATGCCATAGGTTCGCCACCACTGAACTAGTCCTTTGAAGCCTTTGATATAAGCCTTTGTGTATCAGTATTTATTATAGCATTGTTAACTGTATCCTATCATATGATTATTATTGACTTTTTATATTATACTATTCTATGCTGGACGTTGGAAGTAATAAACCTTTAAGTTTCATGATTGTGGAATCCAACCGTCTTCATCAGATGGCTGAAACGATGAGTCACCATTATTTGTCATAAACTCTGACAAAGCAGACCTAAAGTTGATATGTGTACAGTCACAAAGATTTAGGTCTCAATCAACATGATAATTTTTGATTGTATCAAATAACATTCTGCTTAAAATGCCTCAAGATTAAAAAATTAATACAGTAAAGAAATTATTAAAGAAAAAAGCGACTCCAGGTAAATATGCAGAACTGTGCTGAGAATAAAAAGCCTTAAATCTGAATGGACAAATGTATAGATTAGGGGCAGTTGGAGACATGCTATTTCTCCCGCCTCCTCTCCCGTCACTATCCTGGTACCCTAGTGACCCGTCGGATGCAGTCTAAATACAATCCCTCGCAAACCTTTCCCCACGCACTTCTCTCCTCCCAGAAGCCAGAAAGGCAAGTGGACGCAGCACTCCTTCTGCTCTCCGGGTAGCCCCCCCCTTCAGCCCCCCCACGGTCGGGATGCAGGCACCGGAAGTGGGAACAGAAAGCGGTGGGCGGGAGGGAATCGCCGGGAAAGGGGGCGCGCGAAAAAGAATTTTCATGGAAAGCTTTGGCGCATGAGCAGTGGCCGCCGCCGCCGCTGTTGCGCCGCGCCTCAGCTGAGGAGCGGGCAGTGGGTGGGAGGCAGAGGGTGAACTTAAACCTCACGGCCAGGTGGGGGGTCGGCGAGCGCTGAGCTAGTGGCGGAGGACGCGGACCAAACTGCTATAGGCATTGTGGACAAAAGGCCGGACGCCTGCGTTTTTGGGGGTGGTGGAAGAAAGGAGGGAACAGAGGGGCGGGGCTGAGCGCGCACGCGCGCGCGCGAGAATGTGAAGATGGCGGAGCTGCAGATGCTGCTGGAGGAGGAGATCCCGGGGGGGCGCCGGGCCCTCTTCGACAGCTATACCAACCTCGAACGGGTGGCCGAATATTGCGAGACCAACTACATCCAGGTACGGTGCGGTCGCTGTCTTTCCTATTGCCCCCTTGCTGCAACAAAGAGAAGGGATGAACGCTCTGAGTGCGCGCTCATATGTATGCATACATGCATGCTTGCATGCATGCTTGCCATACGGAATATCGATGTCCCTCTTCTCTCCATCCAAGGCATCTCAACTGGCCTTTGAGGCCTAGAAGGAGCTTGGAGTGGTATAAGAATGAGAAAGAGGGAGAAGAGGTGGGTGCTCGTTGAATGCCCACGCAAAAAGCCGTTGGGTGTAGATTTGAGAGAGGTGCCCCTAATCCAGAGATTTCCTTTCAGAAAGATGCGTCCTCTACACAGGCTGATAACGCCTGGAACTCACAGCCGTCTGGGATCGTTGAGATACAAAATGTTTCCCATTCTGTAACTGGAATAGTGTGCTATATTTCTGTTTGGTACACTTTGCTTAATAGGGCAAAAGGTGATTTTGGACTAATAGGTAAGGACATTTTTCACACGCAAGAAGAATAAATCCCTTACTCCACGTGTAATGCTACTCCGCAAGAGATGTTACATGTACTTTTATTAAGGATTTCTCCCCCCCCACCGTGAACGGTGGTGCTCCATTTAATAACTACTGTCCTGTAATGTTAATATTGTGTTCCTTACAAGAAGGTATTAATTAATAACAATTCAAAGCTCTGGTTTATCAGGCTGCCTGATTTGCTAAAATTGTGATTTGGCATCAGTTCTGAATGTGATGTCAAACTGCACTAAGCTTCAAGTCTCCTATTGAGCCGTGGTAATGAGCTGAATATGTGGCTGACTAGCTGATTACTGTTCTGATTTCTGCTGATTCTTCAAAGGAAAAAAACCCACTGATTTTCTCCTGGATAAACAAAGCTAGAGACTGACATGATGCTTCAATATTTAAATTGAAATCATAAGGAAATCTTTTTAGCTTAGAACTTTATATGCATTTTAGCTGTTGCTTTTAGTGAAATGGGCAGCTAAATAAGGTGAATAGATAGATAGATAGATAGATAGATAGATAGATAGATAGATAGATAGATAGATAGACTGACTAATTACATTTTATCTCATTTATAAACGGAATGATGTTTTTAGTATCTGTATTATTAGTGTGCAGCATTATTAATATAGTATGTAGTCATAATTTAGTAGCTTTCTGCTTGGTGGTTAGTATTTTGTATTTCAAATATTTTTTCCAGAGAAGTTAGTATGACCAGTTAAAACATCATCATTCAATTCTAAGATGTAAAAAACCCCAATCAGATTTTGCTGGGGAGATGGCTTGTTATAAATTAAGATGTAATTACGGATTTCTGTTGACAAAGTAGATGTGTCAAACAATTGAATGCAAGGATCTTGCTTCATGGGGGAGTTATGAAACTGCAGTTTCTTTTTGGTTATCAGATAGGTTTTTATTACTTATGAAATTGGTTTAGTTAACTCTGAAATCTTGAATGTGAAATTTAAATTATCAATCACTTAAACACATTTGGGTTTTAAGGAATAGACAAAAAAAATGGGTAATTCTCTTATGTAATATTTTCCTTTTCATATCAGTTTTATAACATGTTTCTGATTTGAAGATTAAAACATATGTAGCACTGATAAAAATTCTGGAGTTTTAGAACTTTCCTTTTTCTGTGTACAGTGTAAATAAGTAAAATATGTTTTTGGAAGCAAAGCATATTCATAAGTTTCTATTTTCATGATACAAATGTACATATTTGAAGATCAGGAGAAGGACTGAGAGTTTTAAAAAGCAATAAGAAAATGTGCACTGTGATTTGTTTGTTTTTCCTGAATTGGATATTGAATTCTATAATCGGAAAGCTTTTGTACTTACTAGTCTGTCATGGGGTATGTATGGCTTCACAGTGTTATTCTTTATATACAACGAGTTTATAGTCCAAGGTGAACATAAGATTTTTCTTTGTGATACTGTAACAAAATAAATAAAACATTTTTGCCATATTGCTTTAAATTGTTGCATGCATTGGTGTTGCAAAAATGTTATTATTGGTTTTGGTTTTAATCATAATGCTTAAAGATTAATTCTGTTACCGTGACCTAGGAATGCTTGCATTTTTGAAAGATTTTGCTAAAATAATACATGCCAAGGGAATCTTTATCAGTATGTTATGTATCTGAAGTATTCCAATGCAAAATGTAGAACTTAAGGGACAATAGTCAAGGAGGAACAGTTTTCGATAGTCAGCTATAATATTAAAATAAATCCTCCAAATTGTTTTTGGGATTTGTATAGGAGCTGAGTAGATTTCTTTAAATTATTTCTAAATTCCCTGCTGAAAAGCAAAAGTGTAGTCTGTACCTTTGTAGCACATTATTTTCAATCTGTTTCAAGCAGCTCTTTTTTAATCTTCATTTATTTGATGGAGATTATTTTCTTTTTTTTAAAGAGAGCTCATGTTATCTTTCCATGAAGTTATTCTATTTTCAGTTTAGTTTCTTTCATTCACTTCTTTCTTTTTTCCATGGACATTTTCCCCAAGTTTTATTCTTGACAAAAAAGGGGGGGGTGGCTGTTCTGCATTTGGAATTACTCATTGCCTTGCATCCTTCATTAACTCTCTAGTAAGGAACAGACCTTTTTCTAAGCACATACTTATTAAACAATCATTCCCATTCACTCTCAACAGGTAACCTAGAAGAACATTTTTTTTCATTCAAAATATTTACAATTTTCCCAAAAAATGAGCGTGTCCCTGTATGTATTCATTAAAATACTCCACAGCAGGCACGTCAGACTCGTGACGTCACGTGACATCGCGCAACATATTGGGCTGGTTTTGCCATTGCTGGCAATGGGGCGGGCGTGGTTTCCATGTGACGTGCCCGGCCCATGAGCCGGCAGTTTGACACCCCTGCTCCACAGGATCAGGCCATGTTCATTTAGCAGTACTACAACTTTCCTATATCTCTTTGCTTCATTTCCTTCCTTCCCTCCTTCCCATGCTCTTTACCGTTTCCATATGCCATTGTTGTCACCTGTTGGATACAGAGATACTAATTGCTGCCACTCATTGCTTTAATAATATAGAAAGGGTATAAACTGGGTTACCAATCTTAATTATACCCATCACATGCAGTATTTCTAGCTGAGGACAGTACTAGTCAGTTTTGGCACATTTTGGTGTTTATGTCATTAACTGCAATCAGAGTTAGTTTTGCCCAAGCATATTCATACTGAATGTAAAGCTTGCATTTTTAACCTATAGATTTCCTTGTTTTCATCTCACAACTGAAGAAGTAAATGCAATTATTGATATATAGTCTGAGAGCACAGAAAAACTTTAAAATGTATTTTTATTTCTTTCAGAGCCTTTAAATCTCTAAATTAAAAATCTGAAAAATTATGATATGTAATTGGTTCCTTATTAATTTGGTGAATGATTTTTGGATTTTACTGTATATGTTTTAACTTGATTTGGTTTTTTTAGGGGTTATTTTATTGTGAATGATCCAGAAAGTTTTGATAATTGGGTTGTTTATTTATTATAACAAGTAAACAAAGTGCCGTGTTGTAGAATGAAAACATGGGTAGCATTACTGTATTATTTTAGCCTTGCTTTATTAGGTGAATGAGGGATATATTACATATTAATGAAAAGTATGTCAAATTGTTAATATAGACAGACCCTGGGTTACAATTGAGATCTATTCCTAAATCTATCTTTAAACCAAATTCGCAGATAAGTCAGAATACTTATTTAATATCGTGATCCTACTTAAAATGGTGGACATCATTCTTCTTTTTTGAGTCAACAAATTACTGAAGCCATGCAATGTTTTCATGAGTGTCATAAAATAGTGCATGCTTATTGTTATGAACCATTTGTATTTGTATTCAGTTTTTTTAATATGCTAGTCTTTATGGCAGTCTGTTTGTAAGTAAAAGTATCCGTAAGTTCCCTTAACCTGGGGACTGCCTGTTATCATGTAATACAGTTAGTTCTTTTGTTAAACGAACAAAATTAAAAAAGACTGAACCTGGATTGTTGCCTTAATTTGTTCTGACACCTGCTAAGCAGAAAAGAAAGTCTTAAATTTATATCTGAATTTTCTCATGCAATATTTTCTCAAAGATGGAGTTATATTCTGTGTTTTTTTTTTTTTTTTTTACTCAAAACAGCCTTGTTGCATGCTGCAGGTATACTAAAAAATCTTTATACAGTAAATAATCAATTTAATGTATTGGTTGGAGGAATCGGAGGTGTTCATTAAATCAGGATGTCTTTTAAATATCAATTTGCACCATTTACATCAATTTACATCATTTGTGTAATTATATAATTAACATAAATGGCCTCATTTGCAGTAAAACTTTGATTTAATGGATAAACCCTCATTTTTATGGCTAAACTGTCAATTTAATGGGGAGTAGACATCAAATGGGATAGTGTGATCAGAAAATTTTTCCATTGTGTCTGATGTCTCCTAAACCAGCTAATTGGTGGACAAACCTTTGATTTAATACATATTTAATGTAAATAGGTCTCCAAATTAAAAAATGTATGTGAAAATTGCTAATTGAGGTTCATAAAATAATTTTCTGCATTATCATAAGATTAGAAACATACCAGTTAATGGTCATGTAAAAAAACAAGTAGTGAGTCTGGTTGACATTTGATATTTTTGTATCCTTTTAAAAGATTTAAAAGTATTGCTATTTCAATAACAACAAATGCAAGTAAAAACTCAATCTTTTGTTTTCCACTTAGCTGTATGTAACAGAAAAAGTTGTGATTTATACATGCACTCTTCATGACTTTTTCTGAAATGTATTTTATAATTTTTATAAAATATTAGAAAGAAAATGTCTTATACAGATAAACAGAGATATGTAGCAAAGCCAGATTATTTAAGAAAATATTTTAAAAATGTACAGACAAGAAGAATTAATGACTTCATTTAATAGTACTAGAATTTGCCTCTGAAATTGATTATGCAAATTCTTCTTGCATATTTCACAAAATATTT